TGATTATTTCAGTTTTAGAACGAAATAAAGTTGGCTACAAAAAGTCACCCTTTACACAGACTACAGATGTACAAATAATCCACCCAATGTCCTATGCATTCTTTAAGTGGTCATGTATACTGAGTAGCTCCACCTAATCCCTCATATGATATTATTTTATAATGCATTTTTAACTTCTTAAGTGGTGATAAATGATAAACGACAGGTGTCTTGTTTTCATTTCAATTGCATTGTGACCTTAATTTTCATTCCTTTCAGGAGCAGCATTAAAAGGACTGAAAGGAGCAAACCGTGATGGGCGGTTCCAGTTGAAGTTGGATGGTACTGATGTGAAAGAGTGTCTAATGTAATTTTTAAAAAGGGGTCTGTTATGGTGAAGTTGACCTGGGATATGAGAAATCGAAGGAGTTGCAGTATGAAACTAGGGTGCAGTCATTTAAGCAGATGCAGAAGGTAAGAGAAAAACGAGGACTTAAAGGAAGCATTACAAACACATCTGGATGAGTTACAAATTAACAGAGACTTCTTATCTTAGTTGCTAGGCCGAATAATGCATTGGAAGAGTACAGAAAGAAGTATCACAACAACAGTGCGTCCGAGCAAGGCCTTGAAAAATGCTAATTGGGAAGTGGTGGAGCACCAGACCCTACATCAACAAGCCCAATATCTCAGCATCACCCTGGAAACTGTGCTTGCTTCCCTCAACCCTACCACATGTACCAAAAGATTATTTCTGCAGGCCAGAGCTGTCATAAAAGATGTGAATATTGATCGAGTGCTAAGTAACCGCATTAAAGAGAAAAGAAGAGCTTTATCTTATTGCATCTTGATCCTCTGCTCTTCTTTCCACCAGCAGCAAGAATCATTTTCAACCATGACCTCTCCTCATGAACCTGCTGCTGGCTAACATAAGCCAAAACTTTCGATGAACAGCAAATAAGTACACGATGATAACAGATATTAAAATAGTCACCCATACAGCACATAAAGTTGGAAAAATGGGCACAGTGGCTGAAGGTACATAAATCTGTAAACACCTGCTAACGCATTAAAGTACACTTCAGTTCTGTACATAACACACATTACTCAGCCCACAAATACACAACTAAAGAAGATGAGGAATATCTTCATGTGCCAGCACCAGACTGAGAAGTCCATTTGTCAAAACAAACTAAAGGGAGTTTGTAGTGCTTGTGGTAAAAGAAAAGAAAGCGCGGTCTCTTTGTGTATAAGGTGTCTCAGGTCAGTAAGGCGAAGAATATAAAATCGCAACTTCAGCTATATCCATGGCAGCTTTGCAAAATCGTAAAGGGAAGACAGATCTGGCCGAATTCATTTTTAATGGGTGCAAAAGTAGTGGATGAGGGCCTAGCTATTGTGCAGTAGTTAGAAAAAGCGAAGGCTAAATATGATAGATCACAAAAAAATTGCATAAAACTTTTACAGCAAAATTATTCCACCCAATGTGTAGCAGAGTTCAAGGGGAAGTGGCTAGAGACAGTAGTGCAACTTCTTGATAAGAATGAAATTGGTGTAAATGTTTTCACCCAGGCTATCTTTACATTACTAAAGAAAGGATGGGGAAAGTACCGGAATGTCTTTATACGCGGTGTTGCTAATTGCATGCTGTTAACTCTAAACAGGCACAACTGAATATTTTAGACCTTTCTTGCAGAACATCAAGCATACACAGATATTCTACTTGGTGATAAACATCTCAAAATTTCTATACTAAACGCTCTAGAATTGACCTGCAAAAAATTGCTTTCTCACATATTGGCACAAGAGTTTGGAATGAGATACCCAAAGGAATAAAAAAAATTGTCAAAAAAAAGTTTTGTTAAGGAGATGAAAAATGTATAACTCGACATATCGTAAAAACTGAAGATGACTACATTGAAATAGAAAAAATTATGGTGGATCAAACGAATTGTTAGATATACAATGTTTATTTTGTAATTCACTCTATTCCTCATGTTCCTGAATTGTCCTTCCTCAAAGGACAATTCAGACAGTGCAGGGCCCAGCTTAGACATTTTAAGCCCGTCAGAGCAGGAAGTCGCCAGAATTCTTGGCCCTGAAATCTTCACTGGCATTCCTGGGGGTCAGGACACAATGAAATTGGGTAATACTGGTAATTGAATATTGTAATTGTAAAAAAGCCTGATCAAGGGACTTTTTCTTTGTTTGACTTTGGTCTAAAAAGAGCCCCATCTTTAATTGGTACCAGCTTTACCAAAATCTGTCAGATGTGGATTTGAAAACATACTCAGTGCTCAGTGACAGCCTCCTTGATCACAACTGTGACACATTGCAGGTTTTTTCATTTTTATTACTTACAAGAAAGAAAAACTGTAAAAAAACCTTATTTTCCTGATTTCATTTTTTGAAAGATACAGAAAGTTACCATTTATTAGCACCCAACACCATTTTCTCTTCATAAATTTTGTAAGAGGGAAGAAAAGAGGAAGACAAAAGATGGTGAAAACTAAAAATTATTATACGAACAGCCACTACCTGATCATCGCAAGCCACTTATATGTTGTCACGTTTTTTATTTGGCATCAGGAAGTCAGCCCAAATCAGGAAGTCGATTTACATTGAGGCGACATTCCAAGTACAAGTACAGCTGGTGTGATCATCTAGGTAGCTTTTGTACTATGTCAAATATAATGACACTGTAAGTACACTGTAAGAAGGAAACAGTTCTTGATCACTAAAAAATTGGATGACTTACCAGCTGGGCAGTCTATTGGGCCAGTTTTAACTATACACGTCACTGCTTAACTCTAGGATGTGATGGTGAGCAGCATAAAACTTTTTATCAATGGAACTAAAATGCAACTGCCTTGTTCTCATTACTTTTGCTTTTTAGGATGGTTTCCATCATGTTTGTTACATGATTTTTTCTTTATTCTGCCAGAAAGCACATGTGTGTTTTTAAAGAATTTCAGTCAGGCTTATTACAAGCCTGGATTAAGTTATAAAACATTTATAACAACACGTGCTCACAGTTCTACCATTATTCTCAGTTGATTCTACCATCATTTACAGTTCATTGATTGAATATTATTTTTTGATGGGGAATTTTCTGGTACTCAAATAAAAAAAGCAACGTAACTGTACCAAGGCATGTATATAGTAAGTCTTCCATCCTCCTCTCCCTCATTTTTCATTTAATTGCAAATTAAGAGGTTACGAAACGCTAGAACGTGAAAATAAAACTTACCCTAATTACTCGTCATATAAAAGATTAAACATAATGAATAGATTTCCAAATATGAGGTTCTCATTTGCCATGGTTTTGAACGAAGAGTAGGTTAAAGTTTGGTTGTCAAGGCGCCATCTTGAGCCGCCATATTGGATTTGCAAACACGTAAATTGCTCAATGGGTTTGTTATCAAGTGATTCCTCGGGATAACTTGCGTGCTGTTCTTGCAGCCTTTACTTCACTGGATTTGAGACAGTTTCATCATTTTGGTAAGTTCGTATTTCTTGTTTTCTCTTTGAGAATCTTTGAGTTTCTAATATTCAAATACGTGATTTTTAAGTCGATCATGGTAGAAATCACATCAGCTAATACACTAGGGGTGCTTTCCATTTAGTCAAAATTTCCTGAATTTCTGGTTCGACATTTTGTCAGTTCATCCCACTGGAAAATTCCCAGAAAAAGGGGAAAATCTAAAAGGGTGGGCCCGTTTTCCCGGTTGGAATTTCCGAACGGAATTTCGTGTTCCATTTACACATTTCTTGTACTTTCTACCAGTTCCAGGTCCACGGCAAGAAGATCTCTCACGGCCAGTTAGCAAATCAAACTGGCTTCCCTCAAGCTCATGTATCAATGCACGGTTTGGTTTTTTGCTGGTGCGACAATGGAGGCACTATTGCACCACGAGTGACCCTGGCCTTGGATTAATTGGGAAGTATCTAGTAATGAGTAGCAGCAATATTTATTCAGAGGTTCATATTCACGCACTGAATAGAATTCCTGCAATTTTTCTGCTGACATGCTTTTCCTACCATTTGCTCTCTTCAGACGCTTCCTCTTTAGATTGCAGTCAGTCACCTTCACCCTATTCTGAAACTATGACATCTAACAAACTAACAAACTGGGAAGATCGTGATGTTGGAGGCAGGAATTGCGGTCAATAGTAAGACCTTTGAAGAGCACTTCCTGAGTCGATCTTCTGAAGCAATTAAGAAGATGCGGCAGTCAGAGGAGTATAAGAGAATCTTGGAATCGTTGACCAGCGCGCATGGAATATACGACGGCCCTGCTGGGGGAGTTCTTCCTCTTCAGCTTGTGCCATTGAAATGCACGACGGAAGGGTGGATGGGGGTGATTACCCTGAAGTTCAAGCCACGTTGGTCGGTTGCTATGAGAAATAGTCCCGTTGCTACCCTAAGGGTCACATGACGACGCGATGCCTGCTTTGAGACAGCGACTTTGTTGACGCCAAGGGCTTATTAAAGGCGAAATAAATGCTTTAGGAAGCATATGTTTGCATTAAATACTAAAACTGACCATTCTTTTTCGATCCTGGTGGGAAAATCAAAGCTTTTGTGTCAAGTTTCCACGGAACAGCTCGCTGAAAAGTGGTACTCCAGGAGCAAACATTCGGTTTACAAAGCCCAGCAGTCAATCAGACCGAGCAAATTTTGGCATTTCTGGAGATCTGGCACCATAGGAACAATTTTTTTATTAGGGAGTCCTACTGTATAGAAGAAAACAGTAGAATTATTGACGAAAATAGCGGTTTTCCCACCCTACAAGGTAGGATTTTGACCATTTTGCAGCCTAGATCACCCAGAAGGCCATAAAACACTAAGTTGAAAATGAACTTCGACTCTTATGGCGTCTTTTTCATCTGAAGAATCAGACGAATCAAGGTAAGAAAACGCACTGTAAATACGATTTTTTACCACGGTCCGTTCTGGTCGCCTTGAATTCCTGAGACTGAATATCGAGTGTTCTGTTTACCTGTAGCCCTGAGTGAACCCCAATATCTTGCGGAAACAGCCGAAAATGTGGTAAAAGGAAAGGTCATAAAGGTAAATGTGACTCCAGAGGCCATGAAATTCATGCATTCTGGAAGGGATCTCCGTTGTATGCGATTTATAAACAGCGACAGCGGCTGGTAACCGAGCCTAGGCAAATCCTTGAAGAAAGCTTCTCTGCCCTGCAAGTTAAAGAGGAGGCTTTGTCCAAGAAAGAGGAAGATGTTTCAGTCTTACAGAGGCAAATTAATAAGTACTTACAAAAGGGGTAAATTTCTTCAGGGTATTTTTGGGAAAGCTTTTAGTGATTACCACCAATCAGAGGATGCAATTAAACAATCATTAGCACTGAAATAACAGAGCTTTTTATCCAGAAGAAAGTATAATCTTGTATGTAAAACACAAAATTCATTTTTTAGTGCAGATAAAGAGGTCTGGCTGCCACGTAACATGAAATGTCTTGGGGTTGACCTGAGGTTCCTGAAACTAAGTGTATGTGATGAAAGTGTTGACAGGTTTGTTAAAAGTTTGGACATTGGTCACATCACACAGTTACCAGGAGTATCAAGTGTTTCTCCCACGGTGACGGGCTTGGTTTTTATGACTATTGATTTACACTTACGAGTTCCTCATCTTTCACAAAAACTAGTGTGGTTCAGTGAAAATGAAAATCATTTTATTTTTAAGTTCTCTTGGAAGTATGGTGTGCTGGAACTTTGGAGATCAGGTGCAGAGCAGGGACTTTCGGTACCTTCTCCACTGTGTTAGTGTTCAGGAAAAAGATCAGCTTATGCATGACCTCTGGGAGCAACACACTGAGGAGATGAAGATTTTAACTGTATGCAATAAGGATTGTACTGTAGAATTTCAGCCAGGTGCGGACATGTCATGGCAGAGCTGGGCTGCCAATGAACTCAACCAAGCAGCTAAATATCCTTCCCCTTATGCCAATGTGCATAAAGGTAACATGTGCACCATGGGTGGAAGTATTGGTTTCAGTGACAATGACACCTTGAAGCCCTTCACTTTAGAGAAAAGAAAGTCACATGATGAAAAGGTAAGAAATTTTATGTCTTCTCTTTCTTCTAGTTTGACAGAAAAAAACAGGCATGCTAGAAAGCTACAGTTCATGGCTGAGAATGGCATCCGACAGCTAGGACTCCCTAGGATTGGGCAGTTTGCTGAGCGGTTGAGGCCAGAACCAATGCATTTCATTTTTGAGATCAATGCTTGGCAGCACTATATATACAATATATTTGACCCTTTTGTTTCTGTTTTGGCAGCACCCTTGGGTAGAGGAGATGAAGATGACATTGATGCGGTACAACTGCAAAAGTCGCTTGTGAAGATTTCTAGCCTTGAGAGTGTTGGTGAGCGTGCTAGACAGCAAGACCTTTTATAAGAATCTGAGGAGAAACTGAGACAAACACCTTGAAAAGGCAGGCAATGGTAGTGTGAGGAAAGCTTCAGGTAAGAGGGGATGTGGGCTTGGGTATCTTGCCTCAAGAGTTAGGGATCACTACAGCGATGAATCTAACAGACATAACAAGTTGTCAGTGAGACTGATAGGCAATCAAGCAATTGCCTTGGCAAGATATTCCTTGTTGACACTTTAAAATGTGAAAATGAAACAGAGGCACAGAAAGCCAAACGACTGGCTCTTGGAAAAATAGGTGAGTATTTGAGAAATGCTTGGGGACTTTTTAACAAAATTGAGACTAATTCTGCTCAAGTTGCAGAACTGAAGGAAGTGTGCGAAATGTATTTCAATCTCATCTCTTTGTTTTGTCCTTCCAGTGTAAATGTCACAACATGGACAGTTGGATATGCTATTCCCTATCATGCAAATTTGTTGTTTCAGTTTTATAAGGTTGGTTATGGCATTGCCTCATTGCAGGCTAAAGAGGCCAAACATTCTGGTGTGAAAGATGATTTGACTTTAACTAACAGCACACTCATTGTTGTTCGCTTTAAAACCAGTGGTTTGCAAACAGTGCAACACCCATTTCGCTGATAACGTATTATTGTCGTCTCATTTAAAGTTCTGCAATGCTGCTGGGTTAACAAGTTCAAAAATAAAACCAGGTACAATGACAGTACCTACCTTGAAAGAAGCCTTGCGCTCGAGAGGATTGAGTGTTGCAGGTAATAAGGAAGTTCTTGTAAAACGTCTTGAAGGTGCTCTAGCTGGGAAAGGTTATCATATTTTTTAGAATTATAAACCCTGTAAAAAGACTGCTATTTCTAACCTTTCTTTCCTATGTATTTTTTCTTGCTTAAATTGCTTCATTATGATATGCAAGGTAAACTTTGAGGGAAGAAATCATAACTTGCCCTTTCATCTGTTGGAAGATTTTTCCCAATTTTTCTTAATCGGGGCTGAAAGGGGTGCTTTGTTAGATTTTGGGGTATAAAGGATTCTGTGTGAACTTATGATACTTTAGTTCGAGGAGCTTGGGTTTAATGATCACTAATGTAAAATTGGTGCAGCAACGTTGACCTGCAACTCATTTAACTCACAGGAGAAACCCTCGATACACCTTGTCTGTTTTCTTGAACAACTGACATTCTACTATGTGACCTGCTTGAAAAAAGCTCATAGTATTTCTACAAGAAAGTGATGTGCTTTTATGTAATTTAGCAGTAGTATGCACTTAGAAAAAAGGGGTTATATTTTACCGATTATTTTATTGGAGAATGTTTACAAAGCAGCAATTTGATCATTATAAAGATACTTTAATAGTAATTAAAACTATACAGATGTGCAATTTTATAAAGTATATCATAAGCCAAAAAAACATATCAAATTGCCCAACAAAGTGGGTTACAATAACGCAACTGAAAAAGATGAAATAAAATTATTGTTCTTCTGTAAGACCTCAAGTATATTATCCAGTAATGGATTGTCTGATAGATAATATATGAAAATTTTTGTTCAACAGATTTCTCTATGATTTTGGGAGTTGTAAGTAACAATTTTTATTGGGAAGCAGTGAAACTCAAAGATCTTCATAATATTTTTAGCTACATAACACTGTAAGACTGTCTTTATAGAATACTAATAGTGGCTTTACCTTGTAGTAATAATGCATTTATTGTATTCTTTTTCGACTAGATATTTAAGTTATTTAGTAATCAAAATCCTTTTATATCTGAAAGAAATATTTTCATTTGAAATAATTGATTGAGACAACCTCAATGTTGTTGTTGTTGACTTCAAGTGTTCAAGGTCAAAGTGATGCTCAAACAGATCAGTCTAATCAGTCCTGTTGTTTCTCGGTCAAGTTCATGAGTTTCTGTAAATTAGAATCCTTCGCAAAACCATTTCGGTCATAGTGCTGAACGTAAAAAGTTGTGGTGATCCTCTGATGTTTCATGGAGAACTTTATTTCAATTGGAGTTGTTTGCATGACAACAAAGATTGATTTGCCACTGAAGGTTTAAATTATTCGACCCTTCTCGGAAATTTTTGCATAATGTCGCTTCGTTAAAGAATTCTCCCTTGAAAATTTTGCTGGCGACCAAATTTTTCTCCACTGTGTCGGGTCGTGTGATCGTCGTTATTTTCTCTCCTTTCTTTGAGGATTCAATGTTACCGCCATAAACTTGTACCAGGACCCACAGATGCCTGACGATTTGGAAGGGCACAGATAACACGACAGGTGCCATGAGACCAGTCATTCTTGATCTGCCGAGCTTGGAATTAATTCAAAGCCCAATTTCTATTATAAACCCATCCAACATTGGGCCAATAAGCTCAAGCTTGTTCCTCATGAGCTCTTCCAGGACGGGGTCGAGCTCCTCATCCCGTAATTCGGCTTGTTCTCAGCAAAACAAACCCTCTTCATCCAGTCATGTTCAACAGAAAATTTCATCTCCACCACATTTCTGTTCCAAAGGCGGTCCCCTCTTTCTGTATCACTTTCCACCCCAAGAGGCCTCAAATTTAACTTTCTTGGGCTTTCGATAACTTTTCTACTTGCCGCCATTTTGAGAATGTTTTCCAATTATTGCTTTTTCTGCCAACTGCCACTGACAATTGCTGCGCCAGTAAGCAAGTACAGTTGCGGGAGGAAAACCCATAGCAACCGACCATTGTGAGCCACCTTCGGTTCACCATCATTGCCATCCCAGGTTACACAAGAACAGCCTGAGATAAGGGCTCTTGGGCCCCAAACGACTGACTGTTGAGCAGTGTAGGTGGTTGGATGCCTTGAGGAAGGCACTGGAGGGAGCGAAATTAGACTTGGGGGATGTGTTATTAGATCAAATAGTGCACTGTTGCCCAGACGACAGGGTGAGGAATGCGTTGGATAAGGAGTACAGGTCCTGGTTGCCGCTTTGCGAGAGGCATGCGCCAGGTCCCTGTCCCAGGCCCTAGCGGACCGGGGCCCAGGATCGACCTAGAGTCTGGCGCATGGCACAGTACGCCCAGGTACAGCGGGAGTACGGTAAGAACAGATCCTGCTGTGCCCAAGATGTCATCTGAGGCACCTGGCAAGATCCTGCAACTCATCTTCCTATGGGAGTTCAGGAGCCTTTTTGGCAGTCTTTGAGCGAGCTTCGGTGCCAGACGACAGGTGTCCGCAGCCTGTGGGGCCACCTAAGTGGGAGCTTATGGCCCCTATTACAGCTGGGGATGTCGACCGATCTCTGAATGGGATGAAGGATGGAGCACTGGGCCCAGACGGCCGAAAGCTAAAGGACGTGAGAGCTATGCCCACCAACCAGTTGGCGGCTCACTTCAATCTATGGCTTCTATCAGGCTACCTGCCGAGTATTTTGAGAGGAGGCGACACTGTGCTGCTTCCTAAGGTGTCGGGAGCTAGTGCCCCCAATGAGTTTCATCCCATCATGATATCGGATATTGTGGTGAGATGTTTCCATAGGATCATGGCACAAAGGATGGAGATGCATCTTCCGCTCAGTCTCCACCAAAAGGCTTTCTGGTCCAGGGACGGAATTGCCAACTCAGAATGGTTCATGCAGACGGTTACCAAACACCATCAGGATAACCTCTGCCCTCTCAACATTGCCTTTGTGGATGTGAAGAAGGTTTTCGTTTCTGTGTCCCACCAATCTATCTTGGCTGTGGCTGCTCGTTTAGGGGTTCCACCGCCTTTCCTGGGCTACTTGAGTGAGCTGTATAGCGATGTGCTGACTAAACTAAGGATCGGCACTGAACTGAGCGATCCAATCAGGTTGGGGCGGGGCGTCAGACAAGGAGACCCGATCAGCGTTCATTTATTTAATGCTGTGATTGATTTGGCGCTCACCGGGCTTGGTCCGGAGCTTGGAACGGAAATTGGAGTTGTCAGAGTGAACCACAACGTCTTCGCGGATGACACTGCGTTAATCGCAAGGTCCCCAGTTTGACTTCAGGTGCTGGCTAGTGATCTGGACCACCAGCTCATGCTGTGTGGACTGGAACTTAGTCCTGGTCTGCAAGGAAAGTCGGCGAGTATCTGCTTAAGCATAGATGGCAGAGCGAAGAAGTGGATCGTGTATCCACACCCCTACCTTCGGGTACAGGGAGAGTTAATACCAACTTTAACCATTAGCCAAGTCTACAAGTACTTAGGCGTTAACATCTCGCCACAAAGTACAAAGGCAACCATTGCGGATACGCTCAAGCAGGGGCTGAGTAACATCTCTAAAGCCTCACTGAAGCCGCCACAGAGGCCATATACTGCTAACTGCCATCTGTTTCCCAAGCTACTCCACCAGCTTACTCTAACACTGTCATCTGCCAAGTACTTGAAATGGCTCGATTGAACTATGCGATCTGCTGTTAGGTCCTGGCTTAAACTAGCGAAGGACACCTCAACCGCCTTTTTCCATGCTAAGGCGGTTGATTGTGGGTTGAATCTTCCTCTGTTAGAGCACGAAAACCACTCCTTAATCAAGCAAGAGCTGCTAGAATGGCTGATTCCACGAACCCGGTGGTACGTGCTACGCTGGAAACCCCAGCGGCACGTTAAGTCCTCAGGGCAAAGCAGACCACCCTGAATGACTCTGTTGTGGGAACACGCAGGGTCTGAGGGGTGTGTTAGCACAACAACTGCATCGCTCATGCAATGGATGAGGACTGGCGACAGCCCCACATGTACCCGCACAACATCTGTGGGTAACTTTGGGGGATATGCAGTTAATGGACATGCATACATTGGTGCGATCAAGATCAGGGGCAACTTGGTCAGTACAGCATTGAGATCGGCTAGAGGTCGCCCCGACCATGACATCAGATGCGACTGTGGCGGCAGACCAGAGTCCTTGGGTCACATCTTAATCTGGTAATGTCTGGTGCGGAAAAGATTGGGTACAGTATCCACCATGAACCGGCAATACCAACACCAGCAGGTATTCAAAGGCCAGACCTAGTCCCAGTACGCAATAGCAACTTAACAATACTGGACGTTACAATCGTTGCAGACAATGCAGACCTTGAGAAGACCCACAATGACAAATGTGTCTATTATAATGTTCCAGCCATTGGAGAGTGGGCCCAACTATGCTTTGAGCCTAGGCACATTGCCTTTGAGGCTCTGGCTATGAATTGGAGGGGGCTTCTGGCCACTAGATCTGCTACGGCATTATGAAGGCTTGGACTGAGCGTGCTGTTCCTTAGCCTAGTTTTGGCTGTGGCTCTGGAGCGTGCGACCTGGATAGTCAATCATTTCAGGCGCTTGACCTACACCATTAGGTCTAGATGATGGCACTTAATTTGTGCTTGATGTAGCTCTGAGAGCAGGCATTCGGATTCTTCAGGCCCAGTGGGCTTAATGAGACATGAAAGCAAAGGGAACAAAGCACGAAGAAAGTTATATGGTGAGGTTGCACGCGGTTTATGCCAGTGTAGAGTAGGTGGATGAAGTGGTTTGAGTCGGAAAAGCGTTGTACCATTCACTGTGCAAAGTCATATGTTGGGCCTGAAGCTAAATAGTGAGGTAACAGACATCTCTGTAGAGTCCCAAATGCTGACATTCATACAGTTTGTGAGCCCGATCACCTCATGAGTGGAAAGTGCATTTCTTTTGGTAAAAGATGTGCGAACTCTGATGCCCTGACCTCCCTAATCAAGGATGGACTGCATCAGTGTAGTTTGAAGACTGAAAATACTAAAGGCCTTGCAACAGATGGAGCTCTCATGAAGATCGGGAAAAACCATCTGGTGCGTGATATATTTGCAGGATATTCAAGCGTGTGATGCCGTCACAACTGAGGGGACGACTGGACGTGAACTTACCTCCAACATATGATGCACTGATGCACAAGGTAAATCCTAACACGACGAGAATGGCGAAATGTCGCAACAGTTCAGGGCCTTTTTTTGGTTGAAAGTTAAAGGGAAGAGGCCTTTTCTGAAGGAAGCAATGAGTTAACCTACGTGATATGTCCTCAAGTAACCTCAATCAAGTAGAGCATGTGCCTCAAGATGTTGTGCTTCGCACACTGATCCTGAAATTGGGTATGACTCTTGTATTTGCCATTGCTGATGTTGCTAGATCTCTTTAGTGAGGAGGTTCTTTTCATCCTTTTTCCAAACGTGGATGTTGCTGATCTCCGTTGCCTATTTGAAGTGTGCAAAAAAGTTGCCAAATTTCTCGTCCTTCAACAATCTTGATGCACCCCACGTGTTCTCGCCTCCGTACGATAGATGTTTACACTGCTAGTCAGTTGACATAAGTACAACAGAGCAGTTCAAGTTGATTTCTTTCATTGTAATGGAGCGAGCAAGGGTCTCAGTGTCTCTTAAGGTGGTAATGGAGGCTACTTTTCGTATTTTTTTGCAAAATTTTAAAAATACATTTGCTCCAACTCTGTCAAATTACCATTAGTGAGGAGCAATGTTGTGTACTTTCTGGCAAATTTTTCCAAAAAAAATTTAAGTATATCAGAAATTTGACGTTAAGGGCGTGGCCAACATCATGTCACATCACATTTCTCGACAATACTTAAGGATATTTGTTCTTTGACCATAATCTTTGGCCCCACGATTACTTTCAATATTTTCTATTCTTGCTTTTCAGCTGACATCACACATTTATGCAAATTAGGCACCCGCCATGTTGGAGCCCATGTAAGGGCTCATATTTTATGCAAATGTAAGCCTTTCTATGAAGGATGAAGCGTTCGCGTGCAATAAATTCAACTTTTAATGGATAACTTCAAAGGCGAGAATCCAGAATCTCCAGAGGATATTCTGCAAAAGATACCGGTGCATTCAAGCTATGCCATTACAGAAACGCGCCCATTCAAAAACGTCGATCGTGAAAATGAAAATAAGTGAAAAATGACGTTAATTTAGTGTCAATCAAGAAATCCCCTGGGTATATCCCTTTCCTGGTTATTGTTCCTGCTCAGACATCCGCAACATTTGCCTATTCGTCGATGAAGAATACAACTTTACACGACTAACAATAGCTCAGTCTGTTTAAAAACTTTCTAAATTTACTCCGAATTAGCATGTGACTTTTTGCTGTTAAACGCTTCAAAATTGAAAAATCCTTGATGACTGTTGTTGATTTTGCCGTAAATAATTCAATGCACTGACTTAAAATGAATTTTTACCTTTTACAAAATTCTTGGTGTTCGAATCGATCGATGAAATATGAGCGAACCGATGCGTTAATAGTTTGTTTACATTTTGTCACGGGTTTTGGATAATATTATAAACCTTAAAATTTACAGGCAAATTCGACGAAAAAGCACTCTCAAATACATTCTTCATTTAAGATATTGATTTTAGCAAAGTATAAGGCAAAATTAAGAGCGATATTTTGTTTTAGAACGCTATAACTACATATTTAACGGCCAAAACTAAACAGCGATCTAATCCGTCTCTTGAATACAACTAAAATACCGCTTCAGATAATAATATTTATAAACGATGCAAACTTTTTTATTCAATCTTATTGTGTGATTTTCGGGAACATGTGGTTTTAAGTGAAGAATGCTTTGGTTTCTGATTAGCTTTAACTGTTTTACCAAACCTACTTCTATTGTTTCTGCATTGTCTCTTGAAAGTGTGAGAATAGTTAACCGCTATGAAGTTCATAAGAGACCGAAAACGACGGTAGTCTTTGAAACTTCGTTTTTGCTCGCAAAGCCTAATGGGTATCCCACTTTTCACGGGCGACGTTTTTCAATGGGCGCGTTTCTGCAATGCCAAGGGCCTAGAAAACCACACAAAAGAACGATATTTGAAGATTTCTGTGGTGGGAGTAGATCCAGCGGCTTTACCGAGCGAGTAGTTGAGTCCAGAATGCTTGCCTCCAATAGAAGTCTCTGACTTGCTCTCGTACTTAGTTCTAGAGACAAGCCATTATACGAATAAGCAATTAAAGGCTTTCAAAAGTCTTCAGGCATATAATCAAATGGTTTCTGGCTTTGTCGCGTCAGTTAATGGAAAGGAAATAGCGGACAAGTATGTTGTAGTGGCTAAAGTGCGACATTCGCAGAGCATGAGAGATCCTCTAGTGAATATCTGGATCATCACAGAGAAAGATGGGACCATTATCTCAGCGCATTGTTTAGATTGCAAAGCAGGACTAGGTGAAACCTGCTCCCATGTAGCGAGTGCTCTGTTTTACATCAAAGCCATAACACAGATCCAAGGAAAGCTCGCCTGTACTCAAGTGAAATGCAGGTTGGTTTAACTGACGTATGTGAACGAAGTACCATACGCAAGAGCAAAGGATATCAACTTTTCATCTGCCCAAAAGCTAAAAACCACATTGGATCTGCAAATTGAGTCATTACCTCAAAATGCTGGGGAGAATAAGGAAACAAATACCGTAGAACAACGCCATGGACAACAATTTGGTTCGACTCCACCGTCAGATAGAGAAATGGAAGAGGTCTATGCTAAACTGAATAATTGTGGTAACAAAGCTGTGGCCCTAAGCTTGATTGATCCTTATGCTGATTAGTTTATCGATGAAAGCTGCACACTACCGACCATTTCAGAATTATTTCAGACTAAAAATCTTGATCTTCAGTACCTGGAGCTACTTAAATTGAGTACTAACATCACATTAAATATTTCTGAGGACCAGATAAACAAAGTGGAAGTCAACTCACGATCCCAGGCAAACGGTTCAGGATTTTATAGCCATAGAGGTGCCAGAATTGGCGCATCTGTTAGCACTGCAGTATTTCACACAAACTTTGCACAACCCTCCCAGTCCTTGATTAGGACAATTTGTTACCCAAGCCTTTACAAGGTCAATACTAAAGCAGTTAGGCATGGTCAAAAGCACGAGTGATGCCATAAAGGCATATGAAGCGGCTGTCAAAGCAAACCATGCAAACTTAGAGGTAAAGAAGTGTGGATTATTTATAAACAAAGGGAAAGCATTTCTCTATGCCACACCCGATTTCCTTGTGCCTTGTAGCTGTTGCAGGAACGGGTGTGGGGAAATGAAATGCCCTTTCATCATCAAAGATGGTAATTTTGAGGGCTATATTCAGCAAAAGAATTCCTGCCTAGAAAAAGTAAATGGGCACTTCCAACTAAAGAAAACTCACAGCTACTACTTTCAAGTACAGCAGCAACTCTTCTCAGTGCCAAATGTCAAATATTGTGACTTTGTGGTATGTGCTATTGACAAAATGAAAAACATTCATTTACTAGTTCAACGCATATACCCTGACATTGAACATTGGAACCGTGTGCTGCCTAAATTAGAAATATTTTGGACAATTTGCAGTCTCCCTGACATTTTGGGGCAATGGTACACTCGACGTTGCACAGTTCCAGTTAAATTACCAGATAAGGATGCCATCTGTTTCTGTCGAATGAAAAGAGATGAAGAGAGCTTTTTATGCAGTAATGAGGAATGCCCTCCAGAATCTGTTAAGGCTACTGTGAGTCCTGACTCAAAATCAAGTCTGGCTAGTTCAAGGGCGCAAAGAGCTAAAATCGAAGCAGCAAAAGCAGCATTAGTGCCGAAACAGGCTGAAGAAAGAAGTACAAAAATGGTAGAATTGGAAGTAAAAAGGGTTGAGATGGAAATATAACGAACTGAATAACAATTAGAACAAAGGCTAGAACCGACCAAATTAGAAGCAGAGAGAGGTCGCAGCTGTGAGAAATTAAGTAGAATTAGCCAATTTGGAGTCCTCTATAACAGAACAGGAAATGTCTAATTCACTCACTGGCCAGGAAGGTGTCAAATAGTCCCTTAAACTGGATGTAAAGGACGCTCAATCCTTAAAGGTACCACCTGAAACTAAACCGTCTGTGATTAGTGCCAATAAAGTCCTAGTGAGCAAGCCATCTCATACATTCACCCCAGCAATGGGAAATGCCCGGGTTTCCAACACACTCTCTACTGGGAACACTCATGTTAAGGTGCCAAGTGTAAATTTTAGGACTCCTGCTGTTGTAGAGGGGGGCATACATAAAACTGTTAAACACCATATTCAAGATAGAGCCCAGTTGGAAACCCCTGATCCACCCACTAAAGAACTGCATGGCCCACTACCATTACCCGGTGTACACCCATAGTGTAGTCTAGTGGCACATCCGTAAATGAAAAGTTCCTACAAGGACCTAGTCTGACAAATGCGAGGGTATGTTTTACTAGACAAGAGT